ATAATAATTATCATTGTCTTTATAAATACATGTACCCTGGACCAATAAGGACACAAGTTGATTGATGCTCTATCACCCACATTGAACCCGTCTCAGCGTGTCGTTCGTCCGTGGCTCCGCAAGCACCAGAGACAAAAAAGAGCAAGAAAAGGGTCTGTGTGTGGTGGAAACAGGTGCCCACCCTTGCAACACAGATATTACTTACTAACGCTGTGCAGCCAGCATCCACCTCTTAGCAAACAGAGCTTTTTAAGGGTTTTGCAGGCTTAAGGGTTCCTCTTCTAAGTTTTTTGACAGCCAGTTGCTTACTGGCAAAGATGCAGGCATTTCTGCAGGTTTGGTGAGGGGCCAGACTCTTGCAATGCAAGGCACAGGGGCGACTACAGGGCTTGAGGGCAAAATAGCTTGGTAACTTTTCTCAAGAAAAAGATTTTCTTGGTAAGGAGATCTGTGTGTGACTGGCTTTCATGTGTTTCAGAATATGTGCTCTTTGATCCTTAAAAGCCAGGTGGGTTGAGCACACTGAAACCAATGCACATGTCCAGGTCCACTGAGAAAGGGCTGTTTAACTTCACCTGCTAGAATCTCCACTGAATTTAATAAGCAGGAGAAAGATGTGCTGTGGCCTTGCTGCATTAGGATTCAGGCTTGACATGAGTAGTTTAGGAGGCGAGGTATTCTTGGCTGCCCCACAGTTACCTTGTTTGACCTTGGGCAAGATGCTTTCTCACTGCCTTTGTTTCACAAGCTGAAACTAGAATATCAGAGTATCAGGTTGTGCGTTCAGAGTGCCATTAAACACTGGTGTCTGTAGGGTCTAGCCAAAATGTCAGCTAAAGCCTGGTTCTCCGGTTTGCTCCTGAGATTCTGCTGCAACACCAACGGGAAGAAGTGTCCCCAGCAGTGCTCTGCCTCCCCTACTGACTTCAAGTGATGAAGCAGAAGTGATTGATGTTGTGGTAAGCCTACTGATTTCTACAGTCATTTCAAAATGGCAGTAAATACCTCATTGATTGCAGCCATTCACGAATGAAAGCAGTCTATACACATGTTGGTTCACAACTGAAAGTGGTAATAGAAGAGGTTAATAATACACTTAAAACGCTTTCCCCCCACACAATGTTTAACATGTTTTTTCTAAGAGAAATTTTAGTACATGATAAGAGAAAAAAATACTACAGACTTGAAATCCCATCTATATGCTCCCATTAAGCTTCATGAAAGAAGTGCCTGATGTATATTTATACCAATGAAGCCTAGATGAATTAAAGCAGTGTTCCCACTTTCTCCTTTCTAATGCTAATGTTGTATTCTGGAGTATTTATAGAAAAACACTGCTTGTAAAACAGGGCCATAGAAAAAAGCCCTGCAGCACCTACTGAATTGAGGTGAACTTCTCCTGTAGCAAGCACTGATTGCATGTTTGCAGGTTTTGAATAAAGTGCACTGTTTTGATAGCTGACAGCTTTCTGCACTCCTACTGTCGATTCTCAAACAGGGTTTGCTACCCGGTGTGCAAAAGTCAATCTCACACACAGAGCTGAGATATCAGTTTATTCCACAGTTGCACAAAAATGGGTGCTAGGGAGTAATTCCACAAAGCTAGCACAACCCACAAAGGAACTACAGCCTATTTATCTTGTTATATGATTAATAAAAACCTAAGTTTACACTTATTGGTCTGTAATTACCATTCCACCTGCTATTGGTTAGTTATATTTGAATTAGTCTCACTTGCTGTATAAACTAGCACCCATGCTCCTTACAGGTCGGGGGGCAAATTCACGCAGTTATCACAGATTTTTGTTGACTTCATGCTTCTTGGGTAACTATCCCACCTATGGCACCAACTGGGGAGGATGCTCATCTCGTATCAATCCTTTATCTCCTCTTCAATGCTGAAGTCTTTAGCAAGGCCTGAATTGTATCAGGCTTACACAATAGAGCCACTAGGTATTTGGATTACAAAATGGAGCCAGTGAGTAGTGCTCCTTGTGTTTGGTGAGAAACATTTGTATGGGCTACAAGGCTACACTGCAGCCACAGCAGCTTTACAGAATAGACAACAGGCATTGCCCCTGGGTTGAGTGTGTATTTTCAGCATGGACTACAAAACCATAAGAATAACAAAAAATATAATACCTACCCCACCCCTCCGCTCCCTCAAATACAAATCTTTAAAAGGCATGTGAAAAAACCTGTATGCAGAGGCCTGTATTTGAAACACTCTTTGAACTACACAGTCATTTGCTACTTAATCCTTAATGAATACAGTTGCTATTTTTGCAAGTACTGGTCACACTGGTGGAAATGTCTGTTGATGATATATCAATGAGGTATGATTTTATTCCTCTGAATGAATATAACCTGATGTGTGTGCATATCTGTACATATACATAAGTCATCTCCAAATTGCAGGAGTATTTTGTATATCCAAAGTCCTCAAGAGCAAGTGAACACCTGGGGATAAAAAAGATCCAAGGTCCTTATTTGTGACTGTTCATAATACAGAGGGTGACGCACTTCTTGGTACACCTCAACAACAGCAAGCTGTCTGGGGCACCAGGTGTGAACCAGGAGGTTGTGGGATCTCAGCTCTTGGAGCTTTGACTCGAGCCAGGGTTTTCAAGAGTACTTGGTGCATCCAGGCACAGTAATGTCAGTGCACCAGTCGAGAAAAGGCAAAATTTTCCCCAGCTGATAGTCACTCTGGTGACTCTGAACCCCCTCTTTAGGGGAGAAAGATTAAATCCTTGCTCTAGGAGTCTATGATTAAGTGAAAATATTTCTGAACCATAAGGCAAAGCGCAGAAACATGACTCGTGTCATCCTGTACCTCTAAAAGCAGAAGACAAAGAGGAATGAACTTTAGAACCTGTCAATTTAAAAACATTTCTATGCCTATTACTGCCCTGAGAAACAGCAATGAGTAACACAGGATGGTCCTTCAACCCGTGGTCTTTAGCAGGAGCAGAAGGCTGTTAGTGAGGAGATATCACAGCTGTTTGTTGGGACAAAACCTTCACTGACATGTTTCAGCAGAGGTCAAACTGCGCTCCCTGCTGTGCCCTGCCAGTGGGGACTCCAATGCATAAAACATTGCTGGTTTCTCTGGCTGGAGTGCTTCACGGGTTGATATTGAAAATTACAAGTTTATCTAGAATGTGTACATCTGTGCAATTTATTTACATGCAAATATTCACACAAAAATGTATGTAAATAATTCTTTTAACCAGGCAGAGGATTGGTTAAGTGTAGTGTGAGGAAAAGTGGGGAATTTGACTTCCCTTTCTTTTCTAAATTCTTTTCTCTACCCTATCAGTGAGTCCCCTTGCATGGGCCAGGCAGCTAGAACCTGGAGTACTAGCATCTGTAATCCACTTCACCGTGGAAAAAGTGAAGAATAAATTCCATTACGTAAACCAAGCCCAGAAAGGTTTTCTGAGACTCATTAAAGGATTTAAAATTCCCCAAAATCCTAAAATTAAAGGGATTTTGAAAGCACAAATGGAGAAAACATTTCCCCCCCCAAGTCCCATTGAACTGAGCTATTTAAAAGTAAGTGCAGAACAGTCAGGCAGGAAATTTTCATTCTGAATTTGTTTATAGAGCAATCAATAAATGGTTTAGTTTTTAAAGTGCTGTGCTTTGTGAAGAAACAGTGAACCATTTCTTTAAAGGTGCAGGTGAAATCTGTTACAGTAGCCTCCCGATGAGCCTTTAGTAAAACCATTTCATTACATGGCAGTTAAGAATGGTTAGGACTGGGGAGATCTTCTGGCTAAGCAAGGAAAGTAATTCATCCACCTATTATTCTAGGAGAGGTAGGAATGAGACCATTCTGTTTAAATCTAATTTTTATTAGTGTTAAGAGGATCAGTACATGAATTCTATTGTGTGTATAAAAATGTCAGCTACAGCTACATTTTTGAAGGAGTACTGTCAAATTGAAGATTGCTTTTTGTCTGACACATTGTGCCCCTACTGTTGTCACAATAACACCTGAAATTACTGTTAAGTGAAAGAGATTAGAAGAAAATTAGTGTTTTTCTTCCTTCATTTTGCTTATTTTGTTTGACAGCTTCTTCAGGGAGCTAAATAGTGGCTCTCCAGGAGATGAAGGAGTGGGTCAGGCTCAAGCTAATCTTTCTGTTTTCCAGAGAGTATTTCACATCATTCCCGTTACTCAGCTCACCCTGGGCTCGTATTTGGCTTTGCCCAGGGGTTTCGTGGCGGACGCGCAGCTGGGCCCCCAGACACACCGCCGAGGCTGCTCAGCCCTGTCCGGCGTGACCTCGCGCTGCCTCGATGGAGAGGGACCGGAGTTGGCACAGTGGGAAGAAAAAGCAAGAAGAGGTAAGTAAGATGAGAATTGGAGAAGGGACTGGAATCCACAGCTCACGGCCCTCCGCTCCCAGTCCTGCACAGCCACTGGGGCGGGCTGGGAGCCTCTGGCCTGGTGCGATGGCTGGGCAAGGGGGTGCACTGGGGTCCAGGGGGGCACGCTGGAGCACAGCCACAGGCCCTGACACTGCTCATTTTTTCCATTTTAAATCGATTAAAAAATAAAAAAAAAAAATCCCCCCCCGGGCCTGCAGCGCCCCCTGCAGGCGCGCGGCCGCGCCCCCACCCACCCCGCCGTTTCCCCCCGCTCCGCTCACACTTGCCTTTGGCGCCCAATCCGCCCCTCAAGGGGAGAAACCACTTTTCCCAACTCCCTGGGGGGACCCCTACTGCGAGGGGAGACAGCACCACCCGCCTTCTCCGCTTCAGAGAACATTCAAGAAGGCTAGTGAGGCACTTGAGCAGCTGAGAGAAAGGGGACTCCCTATTGTTCCTTGTGGTGTCCCTTCTCCGGCGGAGCAGAGCCGCCCTCTCTGATTCGTACCTCCCCCTCCGCCTGGTGCCGAATGGTTTGCGCCGGGACGGGATAGGGGGTGGCTCCGCCGCCATTTTGTTTGCGTGAGGGGTGAGCGGGGCCCTGTGGTGGGAAGTCTGGGGGGGCTTGAAGGGGCGGGAGGAGGCGGCGGCGGAGACCCGGGGTCGCGCCGAGCATTCGTGCCGGGAGGAGACAGTGAGGGCGGGCTGAGTGACAGCAGGAGGCACCAGGGCAGGCGCCTCCCTCATCCTCCGCAGACATGTACATCAAGCAGGTAAGCCGGTGGGGTCCGAGCCGCCCGCCTTGTGCGGTGCGGCCTGGGCCTGGCCTGGTCGGCTTGGCCCGCCACGCTCAGCCCTGTCCCGGCCCGGTGCTGGAGGCTTTTCAGTCTCCGGATGAGCGGCAGAGCCGGGTCCCGGCCCGCAGCAAGAGGCCCCGCTGGCTGGTGGCGGCGGGTCCCGGGGCCTTTGCCTGGTTCGCCGCTCCCCCGGGAGGGCGAGCGACCGCGGCCCTTGCTGAGGGGAAGCTTCCCCGCCGCAGAGCAAGTCCGCCGTGTAGGCTGACGGGTGCCTTTCCTCCCCCGGTTCCCGTGGCTGGTTTCATTCATTGCAGGTCTCGATGTTGTGGGGAGGCCTTCTTGGACCCGGGACTTGTTTGCGGGCTATGTGGGGACCCTTTGGAAGGGGCGGCCCTGATGCTCCGGCCCCTCCTGGCCCAACTCGTATCCACGCGGGGCTCGTACACAGACAAAGGGGTCTCCTCAGCTGTTAGGCGGCATCTTTCAGCTGTTAAAGTTGCGCGTTCTCTTCTTTTTTACTTTTTTATATAGCTGCATGTGGGTTCAGTGGGGAAATGTGACTGTACTTGGGGTTTCAATTCAAACTGCTTTTGTCTGGCCCTTCACCCGGGAGAAACAAGAGTTATTGTTTGTATTGGGGTGATGTTTTAGGCCCCCGGGCATGGACTATTATACTTCATCCTTGACAAGCAATCTGCAGCTAATCTTCAGTTAAAAATAAGGCCCTTGTATGGACCTGTTCCAAACAGTTTTTAAGATTGTGGAGGTCATTAATGTAACACCTGTAGTATATTTCTGCAGTCATATTGCATAGTATGGTTGATTTTTTTTTTTATGACTGCTTTCGTACTACTACCTATGAGCATTCACATAAAGCCTGCTAAGATTCTCAGTGGACTCAAAATTAACGTGGCTTTCTGACAGCCTACGGTTATCTTTATCAAGAAGAATACTTTACAGTGTTTTAAAGTGCATGTTTTACATAAAAAATCAGTTTTTTATCGACTATTTGGCTGATTAGGGGGTGTTTCAAATGCGTTTTGACTGTGTAAGGGAAAGAATGTTTTTGCATGACAAACCTGGTAAGAATAACGAGAGTGATTCACAGCCGCTTAAGTCCCTAGCTTACGGCAGGAGATAAGTGGTCTTTTTGTCACCTGTGATGACCTGGTGATTGGAACTAGTTTTAAGTGGATGGAGATACCGAAAGGCTTGGGGAACCTAAACTTTCGAACTTTTCATCTTAGTACGCTTGCGTGATGACCTCATGCATATTAACATCTCCGCCCTGGAGAGAGCTAGGGTCCATTGCCATTAACATGCGACCTATGAACACATACATGAGGGGGGGTGTCGGTGGGCAGTTTGGGATATCTATACGCCCTGTGGTACTCAGCCAGTGAGGAATCAGGGGAGGGAACTTGCCGTCGGGAGAAAGGGATATAAAAAACATTGCACGATGGCTGCTAGGGCCGTCCACTTGGTGGGACGCCTGGTCTTGCAAGAACATACTAAAAAGTGCTTCACAGTGAATCCTGTCTGAGTCGTTGATCGTTTCTCACAATCGTGTTTTAGTAAATCACTCTATCATTGCAGGTGCACACATTGCTTTAGAGTCTTTGAATAAGAATTCTCATTTTCCAGATTTGTACTGCACAAAAGTAAACAGTAGTGAAGACATACAGAAACAGAGTAAGAAGTCCAAATTAAGTCAGAACAGGGGAAATGAGTTTCAGCTGGGAAAAGAAATTTAGGTGGTCAATAACCAATAATGTGCTAAGGGCTACAGAAGAAAGCGTAACAATATGTGAATTTGAGAATAAAATGGATGAGGGTGAATTTGGTTCCATCAGTATCGCTTATTTTGTTGCTGCCCAGAAATTATTCCTGGAGTTTGAAGATAAAAATTAAGTCTTAATATGAGGGTATAAGAAGCAATAAAGAAGTTATGAGGTTTCAAAGTATGTTGGGTGGATGAAGTGAGAAACCATCTAGGAAAAAACTTTGAGGAGGGGGGAAAGTGATGTTCAAAGTCTGCCTGTATCATACTCTCCTGCTGCCAGAATGTGTGGGTTGTAAAAGTTTGTGCTTTTGTAGTAATACCCAAGTAATAATAATTGGTTGTTTTTACCTTTTTGTAGAGGCTCTCTGGTTCTTATAAGAATAAAGTAGATTCTAGTCTGGATGGTTTTAGAATATTATAGGTAAACTGTAGAAATACTGAAGACCACATTTTTAGGTGGTTGTTTTTTTGGTGGTTTGGTTGTTTTTTTTTTTTTTTTTTTTTTTTAAATCTGGTGAATTGGGAAGCAGCATTGTTTACAATGTTGGGGGCTTTTAAAAATTTTATTTATTTTTCAAAATCAGAGTGAATATAGTTGCTGTGGCCTAGAGTTGGTGGCAAGACCTGAATAAGACTTGCTGTTCATGTTTTTTTTGTTTGAAAGCCACTGGTACTGAGGCAGAGCTTGCTGTTACTGTGACTTGCTGTATTACTCTGGCAAATGAAGCACACTGTTTTCTTATGGGAGATGGGGGTCTGTGTTCACAGCCACAGTGACTGGGTAGTCTTCAGTTAACACATTGTCTTAAACTTGCTTTCTGTAGTTTGATCTGTTAAATTCTGAAAACCTTAATTACTCTCAATACAGTTACTTTGGATTTAGATATGAATACAGTGCAGGTACTTAATGAAAACTGTGTCTTTCCTGTGGAGAGGGAGTATAGACAGTTGCAGTTCCAAAGAAGGTTTGATAGGCAAAGCATTGGAGGAAGTTATTATTGGAAGACTCTTCCTTTTCCAGAATAGCTGCTGTTGCTCAGATCTAATGTTTGATGTTCAAGGATTAGTAATTTTCTGCCTACCCATATTCTTAGCTTTAGATTCCAGTAAGGAAATAATTTTGCAAAGAGGTTTTGACAAGGAGACTATAGTGCCTGGAAAGAGAATGACTCAGTGTTTTCTGACTAAAAGTTAGTTAATGCCTTTAAGTTGTATTTCATTTCAGTTTTTATAAACTTAAATATTTGATTTGCTGTTTGACATGTCATTTCCATTCAGTTTTAGTGAGATGGTTTTAATCCATTAGTACAAACAGGTGGTAAGAGGAGTTTTCTGTGATAATCCTTGATAATGGACTGCCACATAATGAGAGAAAGACTTAAGACTGAACTTGACATGAATAAATCAGGGCACTTCCTTCTCCTGATCTTTTGTCTAGTGAATTTTATGGACAGTAAATTTTTTCCCTCTGTTTGTATAGTGTGCTACCAGAATATTACAGAATATGAATGCCATTCTGAAGGTTTCCTTGATTTGCTCAGGTGTACAGTTAATGTAGGCAGCTTTTGTAGTGGGGGGAAAGGCTTGCTTTAATGATCACAGTGCTACTTCTAGGCTTTTTGCTGAAGTTTTGGATGTGCTTCTCGTATACCAAATACTGTGCTCATCTTCTGGACTGTGGGCTATTTTAATCCTTGAAGATGTTAGAGAAGGGATGACATGTTCAGAAAAATAAAAAATGGTGATGGGAACATAAACCTTACAATTTAAACAGTGTAAATAATTGCACATTCTGAACTTCAGCAGTAATAATATTGAGAAATATCTTGCAAGATGTCTTGCTGTCTTCCTAACAAGTAGGTCTTAGTTTATGATAGCTATCATGGTGAAACATTTGCGTTCTTTTCACAATATCTTGCTTTTGTTGGAGAACAGCTGGGCAAAGTCCATAACGATTAAATGTCAACTCTAGTCCTTTTGTAAGTGTTCTTGCTGAAAGATCTTCAAACATCAGAACTTTTCAGGTGACTGCTGTCTTTCTGATGTCATGCTGAGCAGAGAAAAGCTGCTGTGTAGTCTTTCAGCATGGCTTTAATGCTTGGAAAAGGTTACTTAATGTTGGAATGTACCTGCTGGAAGTTGTCTTGATTTCATTGCTAGGCAGAACTGAAAGATGAGGATACTGTCACACTCTACCTGGTGTGTTACTTGGTAGGGCAAACATCAGATCACTACTGAAATGGAGTAGTTGAAATTTGACATGGTGCTTCTAGATTGTTTGCTGTGTAGCTCCTGAAGTTAGTCGTGTCAGTTTGTATTTGTCTATTTAGGAAGCGAATTCATTAGAGCCAAGATAGCTTGCCTTTTTTTTTTTTTTTTTAACTTTTCCCATTAGGTTGCACAGTAAAATAAAGTAAGACTATTGTTTGTAAAATAGGTAGAGTCTAGTATACTTCTTGCAGTCTAATTGCTTTACTTGGAGAATTTGAAAATATTATTCTTATGCTGTATGTAGACTTCATTATAAAAATTAAGTATAAATCTGGCCCTACTAGGATAAGTGCTTGTTATATTGTGGTTTTCTTTCCTGTATGTAATATTTTATTCAAATATATATTTTTTGTGTAGTTTGTTACAGAAAGACTCTCAGAACTCTTGTTCAATGTGCTTTGGCCTAGATAAGTACCAGCGTGTCTTGTGGGGGGAAAAAATATGTCCCTAAAGTGATACTTAGGTGAGGGACAAGTTATAGAAGTTTCTGATCTTGAGCTGGAAGACTGAAGTGTGTGTGGGAAGGGCAGGGGAAATCAAGTATATTATAATCGATATATTCTGTAAAATCTAATAGTACAGAAACTACTCAAGAACAGAGAGAGCTTTGTTAAAATAACTCACTCTTCTCATTAGGTAATCATTCAGGGCTTTCGAAGCTACAGGGACCAAACCATTGTGGACCCATTCAGCTCGAAACACAATGTCATTGGTAAGTCCTGATACTTTTCTTTTAACACTAACTAGAGTTGCATGGTTACTAAAGATGATGTTTACATTAGTTCTTTATAGTTTTTAATATTCTACCTACATTTGACTATATTTTCCGTTTCAGAAACTTCTTTACACTTGTCTGTAATGTTTCACAAGGTATATTCCACTTAGAGCAAAGTTTTACTGTGACAGTAATATGTCCAAGAATTCAGAAATAGGATGAGGTCTGTAAATGCCTTCATATGCTCAGATCCCCTTTAAAGACTGTCCTTGCAGGAACAGCAGCAGAGAATTTCTATGGGATTCTTTTTTATTTTTGTGTGTTTATCATTTTTAAATAAGTAAGCACACTAGCTACTATAAACTGCTGCAGAGAAGATGATCCACTTTCTTCCAGCTTTGGAGGAATGAGTTTCTGGAATGTGGGCTGTCAAGAAGTATAATACAAGTTTCAAAGTGTAGTTTTACAAAGAACACCTAATCCAACAGCATGTTGTTTCCCACCAGTCTCACTCCTCTTCTTATTTTTGCCCGTGGATGCCTGGCCCTGCCTTTTAATTTGCATTGATTTTAGTGATTGTGCAGCAACATTGAGGCTGCTGACCCAACAGAAAACAGTCAATTTTGGACATAAGAAGGTAGTAGCCAGGATTTACTGTGAGAATGGGAAAAATGTGCGTATGACTTGAATAGCATGTTCTACTATGTAATGTTACTTCAGCAGGAGCTAAAACTTTATCCAGGTATTAGTTTTTTTGGTGTTTTTTTTTTGTTTTTTTTTTTTTTGTTTTTTTTTTGTTTTTTTTTTGTTTGTTTTTTAAAAAAAAAACCAAACCAAACAAAAACCAAAAACCAAACCACAACCTAGCTTCACTATTTTTTGCCTTTTTAAATACTTCATAGCAATCCCAAGTAGTTTGCGGCATGGGGGGAATCTGGAGGGCATGTAGGCAGGAAGGAATAAAAGGCCTGGGATGTTCATTGCTGCTGGAAGGCAAGCAGTTTTGAAATCAATGCAGTAGGTGCTGATCTTAAAGATAAGAGCCTTGCTGAATTGCATCAGAATAAACACTGAGATTACTGTGTGTTAGCATAGTACTGTGTTCTCATACCTTTATTTTTTAAATAGAAATAGTACTTTTCCCAGTCATTTTAAAACAAAACATTGCTGAATTAGCAAGTGGAGTATTAGAAAGTTCAAATTGTGCCTGAAGTTCATACCGTCAACTTGAATGTACAAGCATGTGATTTCTTTTGGTTAAGTATAAAAAAATTGATGATGGGACAGAAGAATTTGATTTAGGTCCTCTGTTCTTATCCCACTAGGAGATCAGTATTAAAAAGATAAAGGGTGGGTATAAGTAGGATTGGTTTAACCATTACTCTCATTGTGGAATAATATTGGAGTTTGTAAGTCATTGTAATGTGTTTGGGTGGGGGAAGGACTGCCCTCTTGTTCTCAGACAATGATTAAGTGATCCACCTGTGAAGTTGCCTCATCCCCTTGAGATTTTGTTTGGCTGTGTTATATTTGGGTTCTGTTCTTGAATATTTATATTCAACATTTAATGTACATTGCATTGTTAACTTATGTCAACCTGAGATTATACTTTGTGTTTCAATTTTCAGTGGGAAGAAATGGATCTGGAAAAAGCAACTTTTTTTATGGTGAGCATGGATTTCTTATTATAATGGCATGGGGATGCTGATAATACTAGGTTTCTCTGTTTGTTTTTTGCAGAAGTTGATTTACCAAATATTCCTCCTCAGTAAGGAGTGGCAGATGGGTAATTACTTGGCATGGATGAAAGACAGATTGCAATGCACTTGTTTAATAGTCACCTTCAGGTTTTTCCCTAGTATTCGTCTTTTCTTACTAAGGGCCTTCTAAGACTGTAAATTTTTTTTTGCCATTTAAGTAGGAAACTGACTCTAAAAGTCACCCACCTTGAAAGCTGATTGTGTATTTGTAGTTGCTTCAGACATTTTTAGTGCATAAGTTCTAAGGTGCTTCCATAGCAGTATGGCACAGCTTATACAGTGTTTTAACATACGGTTATGAGGGACATTTTGTTTAGTGGGAACATCAATGGAGGAGCAAAGATGCTAGTCAAAAGTGTTAGTGGCCTTTGTGATAGTCTTTATAAAATTGTCAAGTGTTAAGTATTTTAGCAGTATTTTTAACTTAGCATGTGTGCTGTGTATTTGTAGAAGAAAGCTCATGAATCTTACTTGTGCAGCATTGTTAATCCTTATGTGGTGAAGTAGTAAGGTGGTGACAGTGAGACTTCTGCAGAGATATTCTGTACAGCAGGTTGAGTGATAAAGATCCAGCAGATTAATGCTTTTTAATGAAGAAAAATTGTAAGGTATTAGCAATGGCGTGATTGTACTATACAACAGTAAAACAGTATGTTTTGGGTTAAAGAAATTGCTGGATATCTCCCTAAAGGAAACGATAAATCTTCTGTTCATTACTATTTTATTACAGCGATTCAGTTTGTCCTCAGTGATGAGTTCAGTCATCTTCGCCCAGAGCAAAGACTGGCTTTGTTACATGTAAGTGAAGGTGTATAACAACAATAGTAAAGAATAAGCTAATGCGTTTGAATGTTACCACAAAAAAGGTAAACCACTGGGCTGTGGATATTCTAAGCCAGTAATTTTAAAAGCATCCTTAAACATCTTTTGTTTCCCTTTGACAAAAGGAAATTTATGACAAAGTAATACATTATGCTGATAATGCACACTGGTGAATGTATATCAAAGATTTTCAGAAATAAAAATACATGTAATGGATCTAACATAGATGCTTTTGACTCGCAGATCTTTGGAAGGAAGGGGGAAGTGGGATTGATAGGGAAAAGGGGAGGTGAATGAGCTCAAAATACTTCTAAGGTGGAAATAATGTAACCAAAATATCTCCTTTCTTAGGAAGGTACAGGTCCTCGTGTTATTTCAGCGTTTGTGGAAATTATTTTTGACAATTCAGACAACAGGTTACCGGTAAGTTGAATACACTACTTCAGAAATAGATGATTATTTCAGACTCTGATAATCTCAGTATTATTGAAGTTTTCAGTACAGTAACTGCTTTTGAGTCAGTTCTGGTAAAAAGTGCCATAAACATTCTGGATTAGTTATGCATACCTACTACAAGCAGTTAGATTTACTGGGTTTTCTTTTCTTAAGATTGATAAAGAGGAAGTCTCACTTCGCAGAGTCATTGGAGCCAAGAAGGACCAATATTTCTTAGACAAGAAAATGGTGACGTAGGTACTTCTTTTCCTTAGCTGAATTAGAATAGTAATATTTCTGTAAAAATCTCTAGTCTGAAATAAATCGTGTAATGCTGAGTAGTGGTAGTTTGACAGCAAGGACATCAATCCTTGTGCAATAGGCATCAGGCTTTGAATTTGCAGTTTAATCCACTCGTTAATGTGATGTTTAACTGCTTACATAGTATTTCTTTCAGGGCTTTTTAAAATAGAAGAGTTGCCAGACTTTAAATTGTTTCATATCCTTCATTGTGATATCTTTACCTGTATTTGCATCCTCTTTGCTTTGAGGTGCTTCTTTCTTAATCTCTTTCCACCACTACAGTATTTTAGATATTTTCCATTTTTATTCTCTCACTTCCTTTTAGAATTAGCTATTATCAAATAAAGAAGTCTCTTCAAACAGAGCATGCATTGTACATGGTGATTATAGTATGTCATGTATAGTTGTAATACTTGACTGAATTTTTACAGCTGTCACTTCTACTGTAAGTGTTTTTAATAGATGCACAATAACATTTCAGGAAAAATGATGTAATGAATCTTCTTGAAAGTGCTGGATTTTCTCGCAGTAATCCCTACTATATTGTCAAACAAGGAAAGGTAAGATTCTTTTTCACAAAGTGGAGGAAATGATTATCAAGAGTATCATGTTTTATGGATAACAAACTTGGTTCAATTTTGGTTCAGTTATTGCAGAAGTAAATCAAAACCTAAATCCATTTTAGTTTGAAACAGTTCTTGTAGTTGTTTCTTTGGAAATAGTACTATTTTAATAGTTTATGTCTGTTTTAAGAAAAACGTTTTAATGTGTGTAATGTTAATACCTAGAAATTTTTTTTTTCGTGCAATAACACGCTTTTCTGTATACTTAAAAACAAAGAAGACTTTAATCTTATGACCATTTCAGTGTAAATTCATAGATTTCTGGGGTTTAAGATGAGGCAGTAAATTAATTTTAAGGCATTTTATGAGGCTAAAAATACTGTCAATGGAGGATGAATGGAAATGTGTGGAAGCACCAAAAATGAACACACAGCAAGGAGAGAGCTCACTGCATGGCCTGCATTAACTGGTCTTCAAGACCCAAGCATACTTACCAGAGCTTTCAAAGGACACCTAGATCTGGAGACAAAGGGCACATTACCTGTAATGGCTCACAGGGTGGGACACCATGGAGATACTGATAACGATCCAAAAGATTACTGAACCACATACTTAAAAGGGGAATGCAGGAGACTTGAGGTGCACTGGATGGCAGAAATGCTGACCCAGCAATACAGTCTCAAATGTGTATCAAGGTAAATTTTCCTATACATCTGAACGTGTGTATTTGGAAGAAACAACTTCAGCTGGAAAGTCACTTGTGTTTTGTAGTGGGGATTGGTGTATGTGACTTACAGCCAAAATACACATACTGGTTTTCATATAATACAAATTAGAAACAGTTAGCTCCTTATAAAAGGATGCAACCACTGAAATTCTGTTGAAGGAAAGTTGGGTTTGATTGTATGACTGATTTAAAGTTGGGTTAATGAGTGTTTCATGAACTGAATTTTTCTAAGATTTATAACCCCTACATTTTGGTGTGGTTTTATGGAGGCATTTAAACTATTTGGTTTAGCACCAGAACTTAAAAGCTCAAGCTTGAATTTCTCTAAACATAATTTTGAGCAGGTAGTGATTTCTTCAGTTTACATAACACTACTGTCTTGAGTTTTAGCAATAACAGGTAGCATTTGAAAACCAACAAAATTCATTACAAGCGGAATACTTGCCATCCTAAAGTAATTGTCTCAAAAGGAAAGCAGTATGGTGTATACTAGGCATCTGAATCTTCCTGCAAAACCTCTGGCAAGCAGGAACATCAAAAAAAGGGTGATCTTTGCTCTGTTGTGGTTAGCTGTGCATCCAGAGCAGGCATTGAAATTGTAGATCTTGAATTTTCAGATCAACCAGATGGCCACAGCTCCTGACTCTCAAAGACTGAAGCTACTAAGAGAAGTAGCGGGTACCAGAGTGTACGATGAACGTAAAGAAGAGAGTATTTCACTAATGAAAGAAACAGGTAAAAATATTTTAAGAAATTAATATTTTATGCCACAATAATTCTGTCAACTCTGAAGGTTTATGGCTTTTTGAGTAAAGCTAATTACTAGATAGATTTTATGTGTGGTATGTTAAATAATACAGAGCATGTCATTGTTTCCTTGAATTTTAAATATCTCAAAAAGGTTTAATAAGTGACTTCATGTGTGCTTTTAGTAATAAAAGTTTAGCTAGGCTAATAGGGATATTTGTATGGTTCAAAACACGAGTAATGTTAGCTGCCAATGATCCAAAAATCAGAATACCTACTGCTATGCAAACACTAAAGTTTATGTAGTATAGTCTAAAATTATTTTAAGTGTGTGAGCCAAGAGAGTACATGCTTATGTTGCCTTACATAACTAGTATCAACAGTTCTGCTGTTAGGGTGTTTCTTTGGGGAACTTCCAGATATGGGTTCTCCTTTTCACATTTCAAAACTTGACAAATAGTTAATCACTGGAGAGTCAGTAGCTTTAAAGGTGTAGGAATATATTCCAGCGTTTAACTGAACTTGAATCTTGTCATCTTTCCTAAAGAGGGCAAGCGAGAGAAGATCAATGAGTTGTTGAAATACATTGAAGAGCGACTGCATACCCTAGAAGAGGAGAAAGAGGAGCTGGCTCAGTACCAGAAGTGGGATAAAATGAGGAGAGCATTAGAATACACCATTTATAATCAGGAGCTTAATGAAACTCGAGCTAAGCTTGATGAGGTAACTATCTTCTTGGCTTGGCTAATGTAAAATATAACACGAGCTGTTGATTTGCTTCTTGCCAACATCTTTTTGCATTGCTTGTTAGAATCTGTCAATGTTCTTAACTAATTTAACAAATTATTTTCTTTCTGGAGCTATTGCTAAACCAGAATCTTGCTACTTAAGCTATTGGTGATATTTCTGTACAGCTTTCTGCCAAACGAGAGACAAGTGGAGAGAAATCCAGGCAGCTGAGAGATGCACAGCAAGATGCTAGAGATAAAATGGAGGTAAAAACACTTTTCTCCAGAGGTGTGGTTTGCTTTGTGGTTTTGTTTTCTTCGGGGTGGGGGGTGAAGGGGTGGGGTTGGGAGGGGTGGGGGTGTTCCTGAAACGGTGTTAAATGGTATTTTACCAAAGGGGAGAAGTTTTTCACACTTTTCAGTATATCTTGTTTTACATAATAATGATCTTGTGAGTTTTGATATGTGAAATGTGCATGCAGTGTTTAATATACTAAAATTTGCACAGGAAATAGAACGACAAGTTCGAGAACTGAAGACAAAGATTTCTGCAATGAAAGAAGAGAAAGAACAGCTAAGTGCTGAAAGACAGGAACAGATTAAACAGAGGACTAAATTAGAGTTGAAGGCTAAAGACCTGCAGGATGAATTAGCTGGCAACAGTGAACAAAGGGTATGTAACAATGGTGAAGTCTTAAAATGTCACAGGCACAAGGTATTATACATTGAAGTTTTGGTATTTGGACTGTGGCATTTCATTATTTTCTTAGGTTTGCCAGACAGATACCTTAGTTTTTTGGGATGTCTTCAGTGTGCATCCAGAGGATGTAAATGTAGACTCCTGTGTTACGATCCTTTATTTACCCTAATGCAGTTCCTGATACTACCTAACTTTAAATACTGCTTTGTTTGACTTTCAGAAAAGACTGTTAAAAGAGAGGCAAAAGCTTCTTGAAAAAATTGAGGAGAAGCAGAAAGAATTAGCAGAAACGGAGCCGAAATTCAACAGTGTAAAAGAAAAAGAAGAGAGGGGAATTGCTAGGTCTGTAGCATTCTATAATGGGGAGTCTAAGCACTACTTTAAAAAAAAAAAAAAAAAAACAAAAACAAAACCAAACAACAAACAAATAAAAAAACCAAAACAGGCTACTATCAATACTATTCATATGTGCAATTCTGAATTGTACTTGTTGCTTGAGAATGGGGTAGCTATATGTACTTACAGATGGTCTGTAAAAAGCCTCCTTCATTGTTGGGAGGGAACAGTATTTGGTGAAATTAATTTCTAAGCTTAACCACTTTTGTGGGCTCTAGTTGAATTTTTTGTTTTGTGAAGTGCTTAAATTTTAAAGCTTGATTTGACTCTTTTTAAAAATTCTTATGGTAATTCTTAATGCTTGCTCTTAATAAATTCAGGAGTTCTTTATAATATAACATGTCTTTTCCTTCTCAAAATAGACTTGCACAGGCTACACAGGAAAGAACAGATCTTTATGCAAAACAAGGTCGAGGAAGCCAGTTTACTTCCAAAGAAGAAAGGGATAAGTGGATAAAGAAAGAATTGAAGTCTTTAGATCAAGCCATCAATGACAAGAAGCGGCAGATTGCAGCTATACACAAGGATTTAGAGGATACAGAGGCAAACAAGGAGAAGAATTTGGAACAGTACAGTGTACGTTTTCAGCTTACTACTTGTCAGTATTTTTGAGAGAAGGGTTAAATACTCAATCTAATCTTGGACAATTTTGACTTTAGTGCCTATTTATAAGGAAGATGAGACTTTCTGGTTAGGTGTGGTCTTTTAAAAATGTGTTACTGCAAATATCTCCAGATAAACTCTAAACTCCCTTTAGCACTGCATCTAAAATCACTATGTTGACTTACTTTCTGGTTCTTTCCCTAAAGTTTTTGGCCTGAGTTTTCAGGAAGAGTCTTAGATCTGCCATGAACATGGCCATTTCATATAGATAACAATTTGTTATATTTTTATAGAGGTCTGCACTGGTTGTTTTCACTCTTATTTTCCCTAAACAGAAGATCTTTTAAACTGTGTTTCAAGCACTGCACCTCTGTACCACGATTGCAGCTGGTTAGAAGTTGAGTCCCTATCCATGTTAGAAGACTAATCTGTCTCCGTATTATCTGCACAACTTTTAGATTTTAATTTCCATTCAGAAACAGCTCTTACACTGCAAATACAGCAGTACAATCAAAAAATACCACTCCTACTAGGAGCTATGGGAGTCAAAACCCCTGATCATATGGTGGGAGAGCATCTAGTGCCAATGCTGCTACCCTGCATGTGCTGATAGAGGTTCTTGGTCTTTGTGTTATAAATCATCTGAAATCAAGGATCAGTCTGCCAAAATCTAGGAATGTGGTTGTACTGATGATGGTGTTCTGTTAAAATATTGTTTGGGGTTCACATTAGCAAAGTAATGATTCTCGGAGTTGGTGAATGAAAGAAATGGCATTTACTGATGTCTGTAATTGTAATGCACTGCTCAGTAGGAATTCTATAGAAGTGAAGAGGTTAAATTTGAGGTGACCTTCAAGACATGTTTATAAAGGAATTAGTTTTCTTTTTCTCCTTAGGGAAGGTTGATTTGTGCTTATGCTTAGAGTTGTATAGCATTTTGTTATTCAAAGAGGAGGTGTTTTGGGTTAACATGATGGAAAGCTTGCGAAGTTATGTTGGAAAAACTTGGCTATGTTTTGAGAACACAGCTAGTCTTCCTGTACACAGATAACTAAAAATATCTGAGTGCTAGCCCTGAGCTGCTTTGAAAATGGAAAATGTTAAATGAACAAGGGGGGAATGTGCATTGGCTTAAACAGTATGCTGTTGACAGCAGCTGTGGTAAACTACTAGTTCTGCTGGAGAGCAGGCTAAGATTTTTGACTAATCGCAGTATGGGCATGGTACGCAAGACTGATATGTATGTTCTTATCACAAGTGTTCTTTCAGAGTATGATTACACGTAACTGTGTATGATAGTTACTGTTTTGATTCAGTTTCTTACTGTGACTTAGTGACCCATTTCACTGTAATACTCAGATGCACAGCTCAGCTTAGTGATTGCCTTGCCTACTTGATAACTTCACCTTGTTACTGCTCCCTTACAAAGATGTATTTATTCTTAATGCTTTTGCAGTTTGCTGTAAATTGGTTAAAACATTTGTAAGAATTGTTTCTGAATTTTGAGTAGTAATTAGTATTGAATAAAAGGAAGGGTGTTTTTTTATTATTATTTTCTCTTTTTTAGAGCAGAGAGCTGTAGTTTCATACTATTTTCTTTATGTTAGAAACTGGACCAGGATCTTAACGAAGTGAAGGCGCGTGTTGAAGAACTGGACAGAAAATACTATGAAGTGAAAAATAAAAAGGATGAACTACAGAGTGAAAGAAAGTTAGTAATTAATTGAAATATGTCTGAATCTCACTTAATGTGAAGGACCCCAACTGTGTAGTTGTTAACATGTCATGTAGGTATGTTTTTTAAATATGGCCATGTATGAACTCCTGCACTTCGCCTTCCTGTTAGATTCACAGTCTTTGAGAATAATAATAATGAAACCTTCAGACTTCATTCACAGTTAAAATATTTTAATTATTTTTGTTCTGTAGTTATCTGTGGAGGGAAGAGAATGCAGAACAACAAGCTCTCGCTGCAAAGCGGGAGGATTTAGAAAAGAAACAGCAGCTTCTCAGAGCAGCAACAGGAAAGGTAAGATACCTTGTATTTGAGAATTTCTTGTGGAAGCTGTTCTCATTCTTAGAGGACTAGCCATAGTCATATCTGTGAGATATAACAGTTATTTCTTTCGGTTATGGTCTTACTATCATAACTAAGGTAGACAAATTATATTTGTAAGCTGATTTTTTTTCAAATACAGCTGTAGAGTTTTGTAACCTCATGATAATGGAGGAGAGGTGAGGAGACCAGGTAGAAATTTAATACTTCTAAACTTCCTTCTGATACCTTTTTGCTTTTAAGGGGAAAAAAAAAAAAGACCCTGAGTAGTGGCAGACTCAGATATTTAGGTGTCTTTCATTAGAGTGGTAGGTTAGTTAGGAGGAACTTGGTGAGAAGGAAGGCTATGACTTTCACAAAGTTAAAGGTAAAATGGATATTATTTGTACATCTTTTAATTGCACTACAATAATGAATTACATTTTAACAGGCCATTTTGAATGGTATAGACAGCATAAACAAAGTCTTGGAGCACTTCCGTCGAAAAGGCATAAACCAACATGTTCTAAATGGCTATCATGGCATTGTGATGAATAACTTTGAATGTGAACCAGCTTTCTACACCTGTGTTGAAGTTACTGCAGGGAACAGGTAATTACATGCAATTTAGTGTTACTTAAGTTAAAGTAGCTGCAGTATTACAATTTAGTTGTTGGTACTAGTTGCTACTGAAAGTTTTATCCTTTTGAACTTGTTCTTATCCTTTTTTTGACAAAGTGCCTTCTATATAGCATGATCAAACTGCTATTCCTTTGAGAAGGAACTATGAATTCTGTCTATTTAAAAATTAATCCTAGGGGCTCTTGATCTTGTTAAAAAAAAAAAAAAAAAAAACAAAAAAAACCAAAACAAACAACCTAAGACAAAACCACACAGACGCTCCCAAAAAAGGCCCCAGACCCATGCTCCTGACATTTACCAGAAGGGTTGGTGGTGAGGCTGAGCTATATTGAATGAAGTGGATGGCATCTTCTGGTGTGGAGAATTCTACAGTAAGCAATGCTTATGTTTCAGTGGTAACAGTAAGATTTATTTCACTTATGCCAGAAAATCTCATGGGTGAGGATGATCCCTAAACTGTTAAAACCTGCAATTTAAAACCTATCTGAAAAGATGTTAAGTGTTAATAAGTCTGCGTGAAATGTGTATTCTAGAAGTAGTAGTAAGTGATCTACTACTTCCTGCAGCATCTGACGCTTCAGATTAATTTAAATTGTTTTTTTGTGTGATGAGTCTCCTGTTCCAATTCATGAATAGTCATATAAATTTTTGTTGGAAATGTAGGTAGTTGTATAAGGGCAGGAAAGAGGACAGAGGTGACATGATCTTGCAAGCTATCACATAGAAATGTTGAAGCTACCACAATTTGAAATATAGTCCCTCATCTGAAGTATCTGTGTCTGCATGAACAAAGGTGTCCCTTCAAAGTATTTCACAGCCCTGAATCCTGTTGTGCCCCATAGTTTTGAAAAAGCAGTAACAAGCAAACTGTAGTTCAGTTTGCAAAAGAAAGATTACTTATTTCAGTCCCTCTGCTGCTAGTCCCAGTCATGCACAGAAAGATATATGTGGTCTCTGTTTCTGTTGATTGTGTACAGACGCATAAGACACAAACTCTGTAAATCCATGCAAAGAGGGCTGAACGCTATATATTGAAATGGTATGGAGAACAGGTTTGCAGTTAAGGCAAAAGAGGCTGTCTGCATAGTGACGCTGGATGCATACTGAGCTGCTCTTGTGACTGGAGGGTGGAATGTAAAATTCTTGGCTGATGCCATTTTAATGAAAATGAGTAGAGTGTATCCTCTATATCCAAAGGCACAGACTTGGAAGAGAAAATGCAATGCAACTTTATATTGATGTTCTTTAATGGTATATGCATGCTTACTGTTTCCATACAAATATATTAGTCCTTTTAGCACAGTAAAGTTTTGCTTATTTGTTGGGCTTGTAAATTAGGTTGTTTTATCACATTGTGGATTCTGATGAGGTCAGTACAAAGATCCTTATGGAATTTAACAAAATGAACCTTCCTGGAGAAGTTACTTTCCTCCCTCTGAATAAGCTGGATGTTAGAGATACTGCTTATCCTGAGACTAATGTGAGTTAGAATTCCTTTTGAATCTTCCTCTACTTCATAATTACAAAGCCTTATATATTGATTTATTTGTGTATGTTGCTTATTGCCTACCACTTTGCTGTTGAATGTCTGCAATTAAATACTACTTCTAATGTATACTTCTCAACATAAAAAATTGTTGTAGGAAAATACATACTTTCCTACCATGTATTTGCTCTTCAAAACTTAACTTCACCTTACAAGTAAATAGGTGGTACTAAAAAGTAGTAAAATTTTATTGTAACATGATAATCAATAATTGCCTGAATTACTGAATTGTAATTCCTTAAGCTAAAATGTTGCCATGGACAGAAGCTGAAGAGTTGTGTTACATATTACAGCTGTGGAGAGTTTCTCAGAATTATTGGAAATTAATTGTGTTTTTATATTTAAAAATGTATAAACAAATATTCAGTGACAGCCATTAAAAAAAGTATGTGTTCTTATTTGAACTTTTAGTAATGAATTAATGGTGTAAATGTTAACTGCTTCCCACAATAATCATAGTAGAATAAGTTCTTTTAAAAGCAGATTTTTTTTTCCATGTTTTTCCTCAGATCAACATAAGAAAAAATAAACAGGAAACAATCAAACTTCTAGTGTGCTTATTTTGGGAGGGTTTTACTGGTAAAACCGTGTTCATGTTTGTGTCCTGCTTTCTACAGGAAGGAATGTTTTTTTTCTGAGGAAAAAAAATTTACAGTAAATTTATGATACTTACTCAACTTGTTTCAGTAGCAGTTTAATACTCTGAGATCCTGTCAGACTCTTAAGGCTCAAGCTTAGCTGTTAAAAGCTAAAATTGCAGAATCTTGCACTTGATTTCCATAGAGTGTTTATGTGTTTGTCTTGGTAATGTTCAGTCAGTGTGTCATCCTACAAACTGACAGCTGTTTATTTCTAAAGTATCAGTCACAATATTGTGCTTTTGAGTTCAAGATTTGACATCTGTATGTAAATAATGACACAGCTCCAGAAGTCTTAATTCTATAGGTTTATTGATTGTGGAACCAGTGTAAATATTCAGTGAATTTGAGGTATGCTACACTTTTAGAAATTCTTGTTATAAAGCTAGAGTGTATTCTATTTTTCATCTTGATTGTAGCTTCTTTTTTTCAGGGCTCTCTTGAATTCTTTGTATGAATTAGTTTCAGTGTACTTGCCATATTTGTATCAATATGTTTTTCTCATTAAAATCACTGTCACTTCAGGATGCTATTCCTATGATCAGTAAACTGAGATACAATCCAAGATTTGACAAAGCTTTCAAACATGTTTTTGGCAAGACTCTAATTTGTCGTAGCATGGAAGTGTCTACCCAGCTGGCCAGAGCTTTCACTATGGATTGTATTACTCTGGAAGGTAAGTGTTGCAGTTCTCTATTTTATTTATTCTTCATTAGATATGGTCTGTTAGTGTTGTCAAAATATGATTATTTTAAATAATAGTATACTTGACTGAGTTGTACAGTGTTACACTTGCTTATGTACAGTGTTTAAAAATACAGAATCTCTTCACAGCTGTTGAATTTTCTTATGGTTTAAAAGTTATCAGCTATGTATCTTCATCCTCAGAATTGTAAAGCAGATTAGATTTGTAATCATTGAATTTGGTTTATCCAGTTTAACAGGTGTTTGTTTTCCTGGAGTATTTATGGTGTTTTCCACAAAATTAAACCAGTATTAGGGTGGGAATATATGGCCTTAATTATTGATAAATTCAAGGTGAATTCTTCTGCATACCAGACATGCTTACACATTGTGTTCTCTGAAATAATCTGTATCTCTTGTTAATGGGATGCATATTCCCTGCAGGTTTACTGTTGTCTTTTTGTCTCTTAAAGTTAATCTGAAAAAATACCTAAGGATGCCTCGAGGAGGAAATGGTTAATTTTTCAGTAACGGCATACTCTACAAGCCACAAAGGCAGCTAATTACTCAGCCTCTCTCTTGTTGTCCCCCTCACAGAAGACCTGAGATTTTTTTTTAAATTGGTAGTGCTAGGCATTTGCATTTTCCCCTTAATAGAAGTACTTTTCTCCCTTCAAGCTCTGCATGGTTTCAGAAGTTAATTAAAAACAAAAAAGAAATCAACTAATACTTAGAGGTGATCATAGCAGTCTGTGTTGGTCTTTAGAAAGGAAGTGCACTTTAAATTGAATACAGAAATAAACTTTTCCCTAATTACTATAAACATACATACATGGTTCCTGATACTGATGCAGTGTTTCTGTAGGCTAGTTGAAATGTTCTAGTTTGCTAAGTTGTATTGTAGAAACTGCTCTGAACATCGTGGAGAGCGTCCAGTGTGCAGTTTATAGTCTCATTTTGTTGCACTTTAGGTGATCAAGTCAGCCATCGTGGTGCTTTGACTGGAGGTTATTACGACACAAGGAAGTCTCGGCTTGAATTACAAAAAGATGTTAGAAAGGCAGAAGAAGAACTTGGTGAACTTGAAGCAAAACTCAATGAAAACTTACGCAGAAACATTGAAAATATCCTTTTGTTGTTCTTGGAGAAAGGTTGTGTGATGCTAAAGCTTTTGTTTTGCAGTTACAGTAATAGATAAAAACCAGGAGACTAACTTCTATTAATGTTATGTATTAGCTGTGGAGTTCGTTTTGACTGTGCAGTCTGGTTCTGTGTGTTACTGTAGGGATTTTAGTAGCAAAAAAATCAGTGGTAAAACAAACAAAACATCTGCATGTGAAAATTGATGTACAAACAGTGAGAATAACTGATTTTAAAATATATCCGTTGCTTATGTGCCTGAATTGCATTCTTTTCTTCAATATAATTTTTAGAGCAATGCAGCTAGTTGAGAAATAGTTTCTGTACCACTGCTGTTCATTTTTTGGTAAAACTTCCATACTGGGGAAGCTGGACTGAAAAACAGTAATTGAAGCACACCTTTTCCAAATAGTTTGCTTCAGAGAATGGCTGGCATTATAGGCTTCAGGAAAAAGGAGCTTCAGTAGTCTGTCCCTGTTAGAATTTGATTTTTGAAGCTTAGAGGTGAGGTTAAACTCTAAATTATGAGAGTTCTCCCTTCTGGAGTTTGTTCTAGTAAGTGCTATAACCAGATATTCTTGTTATATGTGTTAATCTTCACTACTTCTTTTGACTCATGCTATATTTTTAGTACTTGAGTCCTGAATTGGTGTGTTACATAGTCCACTTAAGCTGTGGGGAGGAGATGGAGAGCATTATATTATAATGAAGCCCAGAAGTGCTTGACAGTCTTAGTCTTTTCAGTCTCTTTGTACAAAAATTCAAGTAGCATGTTTTTCTCTAACCCCTTTAATGCTACAGTGTCCTTTTGAGATCCAGTATCTAGAATTCAGGGGCAAGAGAGGTTTATACAAGTTTCTCCTCTGTTATCCAGGTCATTCTGTCATTTGATCTGAACTCCTTTGTTTTTTGACCTGCAGCAGGGCATTAGAGACATTTTTGGGGCAGCAGATGAGCAGAACACTGAAGCCACAGAACACTTAGATCCACAGCTCGATTAGCAAAACTTTAGAAGTATATACCTACATCTTGTTATGTCAGTGGAAGAACGTTGAAATGGTCTGTTAAATGTGACTTAAATAGTCTGAATTTGCCAACTGGCTTTACATGCACCAGCAATAAATATTTTCCACCCTTCTTATTGTTACCTATAAGTAAAGTGCAGGACCCAATTTGTGTATCAATGATTAAATATTCTACTGTGGCTTTTTCTCCTTCCTTAGATCTTCGTAAAACTACAGATATGTAGGCATATGGTTTTAAAGGGATTTGTGCAGAAACTAATTTTAACACCAATACCAGTGTGCATGGTACAGGTAGCCTCATTTTTGTTACTAGGAATGGGAGCTTGAATTCCTGCTGCTTGTAGTTAAACGTCCTAATTACCTGTTAAATTACACTTTTTGCTTCAGACTTGAGTAAGAGATAATTGTATTGTTCCAATATTTCTTTTTATATGTAGGCATCTGCTCTTCTATGTTTTGTAAGATCTGAGTTTTTCTTACAAGTTCAGATGTATCTCTGTCTTCTGAGTGCCATGTTGTAAAATTAACAGCTAGATGATGCTTTTCTGGTTTGTTCTTGGTGTTAATAAGGGTGCTCGAGTTACTTTTGTTGATGGTTCTTGATTTCTCCTGTACAACTGAGTATTCTGGGTTTGTGGGTTTTTTTTGTTTGTTTTTTGATGGCAGCTGAATATGACAAACAGAATAAGAATTGAAAATGATGGTAGGTATAAAATACCTTTAAAAACAAGGGAGAGTTTTCCTTAGCCCACTGTATGGATTAATAATGAGATTGACCAGCTAATGAACCAAATGCAGCAAATTGAGACACAGCAGAGAAAGTTCAAAGCCTCTCGAGACAGCATTTTGTCAGAGATGAAAATGCTGAAGGAGAAGAGGCAGCAGTCTGAGAAGACATTTATGCCTAAGGTATGGGGCTGTTGAAAGCTGTTACTGTTTTTATATTAATTGTTTAATATTACTGATGAATTTGCATTCCTTTCTGGTTAACATCGTAAAGCGAGATATGAAGAGATGACTAGAGATGTCACAAAAATATGTTTATGTAAACAGGGAAGTGATACTTATGTAAATCTACAGATCACTTTGAGGAATGATTCTGTCTCATCTGTTCCACAGCAACGCAGTTTGCAGAGCTTAGAGGCAAGTTTACACGCTATGGAGTCAACTAGAGAATCGTTAAAAGCAGAGCTGGGGACTGATTTGTTGTCTCAGCTAAGTCTTGAAGATCAGAAACGTGTGGATGCTCTCAATGATGAAATTCGACAACTACAGCAAGTAAGGAAATTAAAAATGTCTTGCCAAAAAATGTGGTACCTTTCTTCCCAATAAACTTACTTCTGTCCTTTTGTGTGAAAAGTCACTTATGAATATACTGTAATTAAAGTAGCGTTCCATCAGTAGTAGGTAGACATGTTTGGAGTTTTCTCATCTGCAAAGTATTTGCATGTTGTTCTCAAGTGCTGGTGAGTTTTACTAGCTGTACTGTGTGAGAATTACAGCTATTTATGTTGGAATCGTTACAGTTTTCATGCTACTGCTCTTGGACTTTACAACGATAAATACAAATAGGTATAATCTAAAAGGAATGATGCACAGTGTGGGAAAATAAAACAGTGCCTTAAAGCACATGGTAGATGACACAAAAACTAAGGTTTTGTCTGAAACACGTTCGTGAAAAAATACTACTTAAGTATGCTTTTCTGGGTTTAAGAATTGGATTCAGTTGCTAATACAGTTTCTTAAAACTTACTGATTTGTGTGGTTGACTCTTACACTAGACAGCTGCAAAATAATTCACATTTGGTTCTTTCTATTTGTTAAAATCAGAGCAGCAGTCCAAAGAATTGTGTGATATTTTCATACACAGAATTGTGTCATGAGTGGGTTCTTTTATCTTCGTTCAATAATTTAAAAATTGTTGTTTAGCAGTCAGTTAAGGCAATTGATGCACTTTTTTTTTTTTTTTTTTTTTTTCCAGGAAAACAGACAGCTTTTGAATGAGAGGATTAAACTGGAAGGCATTATCACAAGAGTTGAGACATATCTCAATGAGAATCTGAGAAAACGCCTAGACCAAGTGGAACAAGTAAGGATTTTCTCTTAAATATACTTTCGCAATCCATTTTTGGTTTACTTCCAGGGCTTTAATGTATGAAATATTTTGATAAATGTTCATTATCCTGCATTATGTATGGTGGGTTTTGCTTCTCTATATGCAAGTTGAGTTAGGTGTTTCACTTAAATTTCATCACAGTATTTTAGACATGTGAATTTTTGACTGAAATCCTACTCTAAATACACGCTTTATGACCATCACAGTGACAGATTTGTTTGAAAGTTTAACTTTAATAAAATATTTAATACAGTTGTATGTAGAGTAGCAGAAGATAACTTGTTTGTCTGGCTTATACTTTTGTTCCCCTCCATGCTGAAGCTTGGTGGCATTTACTTTATCCTATAGGAACTGAATGAGCTTCGAGAAACAGAAGGTGGCACAGTTCTTACTGCCACAACATCGGAACTTGAGGCTATCAACAAACGAGTGAAAGATACACTGGCACGGTCAGATGGTTGGTAACTTAATTTTTTGGAAAGAAAATTCTCCAGTGTTTTGAAAGCTTACACATACCACATTTTGGTTTAGAAATAGACCGTAGTATGAGAAGTAATCATTAATTTCAAATATGCTGTGGTAGTTACATAGTATGGAACAGATCTTTGTAACACTCCAAAAGATAAGTGAAATAAGATTTTGTGCATGTTGTACATAAAAGAAAGTATCCACAATTGCGCCCTGTAATACCAGTAAGTATGTGTTGGTGATAACTAGACTTTGGGCTTCAAGGCATCGTACTCTTGAAGCAACCTTCATGCAAGCATGATCTTGTATAGTTGTTGAATTTTGCCCAACTTATCTAAAACTAAGTTGCTGTCAAATAGGAAGTAGCATTTGTATGGCTCAAACTTCTTGCTTCTCTCTTCCTAGACTTTAACAACATGACCTTAGTATGCTTGTTAAGGCTTTTTAAAAGCCATGTACTCATGGGTAAGAGAAGAGGAATTTTCAGCTTTTTGTCTTAAAATTAACTTTCTATGCCTTAACAGGTCTTTTTCTTTAGATTATCCTTTTGTTGCATAAGTACTTGACTGGATAATTGCCGATTTTATGCAGGCGTGTAAGACTTACCACTTTGGGTTTTGTGCTCTCATCCAATATCTCAGATCTGGATAATTCTATTGACAAAACGGAAGCAGGAATTAAAGAGCTTCAAAAGAGCATGGAACGCTGGAAGAACATGGAAAAGGAGCATATGGATGCCATTAACCATGATACAAAAGAACTTGAAAAAATGACTAACAGGCAAGGCATGCTTCTCAAGAAGAAAGAGGAATGCATGAAGAAAATCCGAGAGTTGGGTTCACTTCCACAGGAGGCTTTTGAAAAGTACCAGACTTTAAGTTTAAAGCAGGTAATAAGCATGCCTGGCTTCATGACCTGAAATATTAGTGTCACGTACATATTGAGTGTCAGATGTGGCTAGAATTGCAAGTCATTTTGATATGTTAATATTTTCCATTTACAGTTATTCCGCAAACTGGAGCAGTGTAATACGGAACTGAAGAAGTACAGTCACGTTAATAAAAAAGCTTTAGATCAGTTTGTGAATTTCTCAGAGCAGAAAGAAAAATTGATAAAAAGACAAGAGGAACTGGACAGGGGCTACAAATCCATCATGGAGCTGATGAATGTCCTTGAGCTGAGGAAATATGAGGCTATTCAGCTGACTTTCAAACAGGTAACAAAATGGCAGTGATTGTAAAGACACTGGTGCTGAAATATAGTTGTCCCTTTATGAAGGAGCTATATGGGAAGAAGCAGATAGTAAGTACATTTATCCTATAATAATAGAAGGCAGTATCATGTAACTTGAGGGTTGTGGGGTTTTTAAATACTGAAAAAGAAATAGGCTAGCATTTTAAATAGGTGCTCATATTGGCTGTATTACAACTCTAGCTCTGCTTTAAACCTCTTAAATACTTCATTTCTGGTGAATCTGGACTACACACAACCCTTTCTGGGGAATATCTGGTAAAAAACTCTACTCCAAAAACTCCAAATACATTCTCCAGATTTATTGAAAGTAATTTCTAACATTAACAAAGGATCTCAACTACTAAGTATGTCAAGCCTTTTCTTAAGTCATTTGCTTAACAGAGATCTCTTCAGTAAACTTCAGATATAAATCATACTTGCTTTTGCTGCTGTTCTATGTTTTAATTCTACAATTCTTTAAAAAATTTGTGAAAATTCTCATACAAGAACAGTTGGCTTAGATGTCTTTAAACCAAGCTCTGTATAGTGTCTGTTTCTCACTTCTATGTCCACTTAAGAATAAATGTGAATCTCTGCTTTGAAGCTGATACTTGGTGTGAGTAAAACCAGCTGTTGTCTGCATTTGATTTCACTGTGTAAAAATGAGCTGGTGTATTGACTGTGTTTCTCTTTCAGGTGTCAAAAAATTTCAGTGAAGTATTCCAGAAGTTAGTCCCTGGTGGCAAGGCCACGTTAGTGATGAAGAAGGGAGATGTGGAGGGCAGTCAGTCCCAGGATGAAGGTGAAGGCAGCACCGAGAGTGAAAGGGGATCTGGATCGCAGAGCAGTGTTCCATCTGTAGACCAGTTCACTGGAGTTGGCATAAGGGTAAAGAAAAAAAATTGTTTTCCAGTACTCTGCATATTTGTTTAGATCGCCTTTTAACTATATTCTTAAAAGGCAACATTTAATTGGTCCTGTTTATTTGCTAAATAGCAAGTGATGTTGTGGTTGAATATTTTGAAATCATCTTGCTGTTGCATTGTTTTCTTAGGTATCGTTCACAGGGAAGCAGGGTGAAATGAGAGAAATGCAGCAACTTTCAGGTGGACAGAAATCCTTAGTGGCCCTAGCCCTGATATTTGCTATCCAGAAATGTGATCCAGCTCCATTTTACTTGTTTGATGAAATCGACCAAGCCTTGGATGCTCAGCACAGAAAAGCTGTTTCAGGTAACTGTCTACCTTTATTAATCTTCACTGGGGTTGAACATGATAGTCTGTCTTCTCCTCCCTGATGTTTAAGATAAAAGCTTCTAATCAAAAGGCACAATTTTTAATATCCCAATATGTGTGTTAGAATTTAAATTTTGTGCCTTCTGAAGCTTTCATTAACTTAGTCTTAGGTAGAAGCTCTGTGTTGTCTACTGCACCTAAAGGGTTTCCTTACTACACTTTAATGTGGTGGAAATAGAACTATTTTGAAGTGTAGTTTGATTTTAAAAATGAACTCTTAGCTCATTGCATTGTTGGGAAAGTGCTTACTCTGTTTTCATCATAGAAGTTTAATATCCCACTGATTTTGCTGAGTGGCTGGATTTGTCAAAGTTGATACTGAAGTTAACGATAATATTTAAAAACCTCATATTGATCCCTTCTTGATTTGTGAGTGGTTTTGGTTTTTGTTTTATTAACCAAAACCTCCTTTTGAATAAGGAATAGCAAACTCTTTGCCTGTCTCATTCAGACCTGTCCTACTTTATTGGAAGTATTACATAAATAATGAATTTCTGTGTTTGTTTTTTTTTTAGATATGATTATGGAACTAGCTGAACATGCTCAGTTTATTACAACAACTTTTAGGCCTGAATTGCTCGAGTCAGCTGACAAGTTCTATGGTGTAAAATTCAGAAACAAGGTAAATAATATGTTGCAGCATTTACTGAGAACCTTGTCAATTTGTGCATTTGAGACTTGACTAACAAGAGTTCAAAGTGAATCAGCCTTATTTCAGTGATGGTTTTCTAGGTATATTGCAGTCTTGTGTAAAAGTCCTCTTCTTCCTGAAAAATAAATATCTACAGATGTCCCTTGTCATGTTCTTTAAGGGAGATTAGAAACTGATAATTGACCTGTTGCAGAGTCCTGGAGCCTTCAGAAATAAGTCTGTCTTACTCTGCAGTAGATACTGTAATAACTGTATACTTCTTTTTGTTCCACCAGGTTAGTCATATTGATGTGATCACAGCAGAAATGGCCAAAGACTTTGTAGAAGATGACACCACACATGGTTAAATGCAATTGTACTTACTGCTTGTTTGGAAGATGTGTATAGTGCTATGTTTATGCCAGGGACCTGTAAATTTAAAGTACGAAGTATTTAGTCCTTGTTTAAAATAGTTTTTGAACACATTTTAACCAAGACCCCAGAAGGCTTAGTTTCAAAGAAGTTTGAGTATCCATTTTGTCTCTGTTGCTGTATTTTATAAGATAATTGTTAATGCTACCTTTATACAGTACCTGTAGTTTGGAAATTTTATTCTTTTCCCTCGATCTTTTGTAAAGTGTCTGTTGCTGTTTTAAAGCTTTTCAGAAAGTGCTGGCTATTCCTTCTTAAGTATAATTTTACCATTTATATTGCCTCACATTGTTTTGTTTTGGTTTTTTTTTTAATGGCTTCAATTAAAATGATTGGGTTTATCGCTGTAACTTCTATACATTAAGTTTCTGGTTTATATTGTCTGTCTTTAAAGGATTCCACTGAAATGGAGTAAATACTATTTGGTCATATTGGAGCTCCATATATCAGAAGTATGAGATGAAGCAATTCTTTTAAGTTATTCTTAATTCTCTTTTCCCCCTTTTTTTGCACATTGCCAATGCCAGCAGAAAACCACCCAAAATCTGTGCTTGTCCAAATTCAGTGTTCTGGTTAATGAACTGAAAAAAAATGTAAAAATCAGAAGAAGCTGAGAAGTCTGAAAAGACCCTAGAACTGTATCAAGACAAATCACAGACCCCACTTTTTTCCTGGCACCCTGGCCAGTGTAAGAATTCCTCCATCATATCCCTTCATCTTCCCCGCGAGACCAGCATAACTTGAGCCAAGTGACAGTCACCAGTTTGATGGGGCTTCATCTGCAAGCACTCTTGCTCCCCACTGAGAATTTCAGGAACTGCAGGAAAGGAGGGCATGAACTGGTGGCAGGTCTCCCCAGCTGAGAGTGCATATACTTGCTATACAGGGCAGGATAAGAGAAGAATACTACAGTTAGTATCGAGTAACTCCCCCAGGGAATGATAATCATGTAGGAAATTACTACCTGCAGTAAGTTTTAAGACAGAAGGAGGAGAATGTTGTACCTGACATAACAAAGCTTTCTATAGCAGGGAGTCACTAGCTACATGGTAGACTTTCTGTGAACAGAGGGTGGAGTACAGAACATAAAACAAACTCTTGAGTAACCCCAACTCCCCCAAAATGTCTAGCATGGCAGTAGAACACCCTGAATAATTGGGAATTTGTCCTATGCACACAGAGCTCTGAATTATGCATTTAGGGTGGCTATGGAGCAAAGCACTTCTGAATTACAGGTGAAACAAGTGAGTTCAAAGTCCAGAGAAGGACCTAAAGAATCTAGCCACAGATTCATGCCTAAAGTTACTGATTTCAATGTGTTTGATCTGGTGCATGTAAGGACACACTTGAAGTGTCTGTGATCTGTTGGCCTGTAGTAATAGCTGGCTGTGCTCTTGGCTAACTCATTAGGGCATCAGCTTGGCAGTTGTTTGCTTAAATTTTGGAAGAGAGAAGCCATGAAGCTAATTACTGTGCTTATTATGAAGTGCCATGATCAATCTTAGATGGATTTACTATGAATGAATTCTATCAAATAATTCATTAAAATAGGAATAGATTAGTAGAGTGGTAGGTGGTTTGAATTTTTTTTGTACTGAGCCTAAATGCAGCTGAATAACTTGAGTAATTTCAGCTGTGTTAGGAATTTTCCTCTGGGTTGAGTCTAGCATTAAGTTTGTTATCAAGCACAGTAGGAGGATGGGTTACTAGCAAACTGGTGGAAACACAGATGAATACTGGGTTGATACTGTGCAGGGTATGAATAGACAAGCCTTTAGCTATCACTTCTATTTCTTGTCTGCTAAAGACCAAGGTTTAGAACCAATTGCACAAAACTTGAGAAATTTATCAAGACTTTCAGAATCCCTTGTTAAGTTTGGGGGCTGGTGATTATTTTTTGTTTAAATGACTACTAAACTTTATTCTGTCCTTTAAAAGTGACATTTCTAGAGAGGCTACTTCCTAAGATGACACCTTGTTTTCCTGTGAGCGTACTTCTTCCCAGGTGCTCATCCGCAATGCTGTGATGTCTCTCTGCTGTGCAGCCACATACTACAAGTGTGAAAAAAACTTAATGGCATCAGTTCCTTCATCTGATTCAGCAAGTTGAGTGTGTTAGCAGTAATGCTGGCATGCATGGGACTGGAATGGGAAAGGCTGAAATAACTTACACAGCACCTCTAGATGTCAAAGCACTGTGTGCAGTGCTGCAGATGCCCTACAGTGAGCTTGGGTTGCTGAGTTAGAAGCTGTAGTTAGAATTGAAGAGGGATGGAGTAAGGTGGGTTATTTAGCAAAATCTATGCCAGCTTGCTATATTGGAAAATAAATGGGATGAGTGGGAACTGCACGAAAGTAGGAAAACCAGAAACTCATCCCTTGCTGTATGTTTAAGGAAAGTGCTTGTACAAAGGAGGAAGAATTGTCTTTAAAATGCCAGTACATACAACCTAAAGGAGGATTTGGGGTTTCTGAACCTAAATTTGGCCAGGAGTGGCAGAAAAGTTTTCACTGCTAATGATGTACATCAGATTTAAGTGGCAATCTGAAGATGTGACACAGCTGTTGCAAAATGCAGTAATTGAGGTGATAGGTTTCCAAGGTCTATGTGTGTGTTGTATTCTGTTTGTGATGGTTCATATCTGGTCCACTCAACACTGTAGTTTACAAGTTGCCTTTTGTGTCTGCCAGTGCTTGAAATTCTGTTTAGAGTCTTAAAAATAAGCTTTAAGAGTTACTATGTCCTTGAGCTTCTTTGTAGCTGTCCTGTTTTTTCCACCAGGAAGTTTAAGGCAGAATTTAGTGAAGCTATATGCTTGCTCTGAACTGTAGGATATCCCAGAAATTGTAGAAATCCTGGGTGCTGCATAGTGCATCTACTCTTTATGCTGAGGAAGATTTGTATAGTGGCTCTGGTAGATGCTGCTCAGAAACGTGGCAACACGGGGCTGGTGGTTGTATTCTGGGTCAGTATCAGGGGTGCTGCTTCTGCTGCCCAAGTGTACTGGGACAAGATCACTCGTGTATGATCCAGAAACACGAAACTTGAGAATGTTACCATTTTATCCATTTTATTTTCACTTGTTACACTTACCCTTCCAGTAAAACACAACCCTTTGTTTTTTGGATGTCCAACTGAGGCTGTGTTTCCTACTGCAAGCTAGGAAGTCACCTGGGAAACAACAATGTAATGTAACTGCTGAATGTTTCCGATATAGGTGTTCAACTGTTCATTTTCTTAATTATCAATATGTGAAACTTACCAGCTGAATGGGTGATCATTGCTGATATCTTAGGATGGATGGTTTTCATCTCTAGTAAATGTTCTTCAAATGCTTTGTAAGATTAACACCTTTGAGTTTTCTATTTTTAATCTTATGTAAATGTTACAAGATGTAGTTTGTAGCTTTGGGCAGCAGATGGAACCAAACTGGACTAAATGCAAAAGTGAAATTTGCTTTATTATTAAAGCTGAGGGTAAAATCAAAGGGTTTTTAATGAGGTTTTTGAAATTCCAGAGACTTACAGTGGTCATGAGGATCATGAACAGACAAATACAAATTATAGATAGTTTTACATGGACAAGAATGTAATAAATGGGAATAAATCACACTTCTTGCTTAAAAATGTATAAAACCTTTAAGATTTTAGTAATTTGCTGAAACATACTTATTGGGTAAAACTGCCATTCCAGAAAAAATATATGCACAAATTTATGTAAAAATAAACACTACTGGTTAAAAAAAAAAAAAAAAAAAAGTGAAAATTGTCACAAAAGTGATAAGAATCTGGTTTCTCTATGAGAAATGACTAATAATTCTCTGTAGTGAATGAAGTCATCATTCTCTCCTTGTGGCTGAACCTGTTGGCATGGGAGGTGGTGATTCCCAGGGCAGGGATGAACAGAGGGGATCGGCTGCTTCTCTTTAAAATTCTTCCCTCAGATTGGAGGTACAAAGTGAGTTCCCCTGACTGCTGAAGGTGGCAACTGCCGGGATCCTCTCAGCTGCTCCCATCCGAGGGTATTTATCCCCCGGCACACTTCTGAAGAACAGCTGCTCTGCTTCTGGAGTGCCAGCTTCTAATAGGTAACGGCTCTTCACCTGGGGGGGAAGGCAATTTTTTATTGACTCTTAGTTGGAGCCCTGCTGATTTTACAAGCTGAGAGTCTTCAGATAATGGTTTCAAAATATTTTCTTAGGGAAAAGTAACCTTAGACCCTGGAAGGTCTTTATTTCCAGCATCTGCTTTCATTCCTCATTAGACACAATGGATGCTTTTACTATCTCCCTAGTAGTCAATAAAAGCTTTTGCAGTAACAAAATCTAGATCTTTTCACATGTGCAATTAAGTTCATTTCACTAGTGATACTGTCTTATTTTTCAGAGAGGGTTATAAAATAGTGGGTTTGGTTTTATAGAAAAGCAAATACATTTCCTTATAGTGCGATCATAAGCATATTTGGGGATTATTTTAACTGGAGGCATTTTTCTCCTTAGTCCTGGTGTGATGTCTTTCTTTTTCCTCTTAGAGTCAGCTGAAGTCCAGAGAGAGGCCAGTTGGGCTGACATCCTTATTTCTAGTTATTCAGCTTTGCTCTTCCTTTAGTGTAGTTTTTATTCTTCCCTTTGTCTTTCGTTTGCTACGTTTGACTGTAACCACGAGGGGGCATCTGCTGTTTTTGTTAGCTTTGATTGCCCCAAGTTCAGCTTTTCAATCTTCGGTTTTTGTCTATGTATTTTGTCTCAGACAAAAGTTTCTTGTATAATGCATTCTTGTATAATGTATAATAAGGATAGATGAATTCGTTCTTCAGTAGTCCTTGGATTCTGCTGTTGCCGCAGTGTTAACTGTGTTCAAGGAAGATACATTTAAACTAAGAATTTTTGTAACAACACTGAGACCAGCACCAGTTTTTAGTGCTACTGAATCAGCAGCCCCTTCATGTTGCACTTCACTTCTAGGAGAATTACATTGTTGTTCTGAAATACCTCCAAACTTCTCTTTGCCAAGGCAAAGAAAGTGTAATTCTTACTGTTTTAATGGCTTGCATTTGGGATAGCTTTATTCCTGTGTGTGAAAATGTAAAGATGAAAAATGACATACGCATTCTCAGGTTCTGCTGCCTGACAGTTCCCACCATTCTAGAAATTAGATTTACATCGGTTAGGATCAACATTTAGAATCCACTTCTGCAAGTATGCCCGAGAAAATGCATTGGTAAGATGTTTGTTGGGTTACAGGGCCTTGGTGATTCAGCATCTCTGCTATGCTTTAAATAGGAGGCGTTCCAGACAGAGCGCGTATTTGAGTCAGAACTACAACGTCTGATTGCTGTTGATATCACTAAAGGTTGTAGACAGGTGCCGCTGGAGCTTTGAGCTCAATGAAAATCTGCTTCTCTCCAGAAGAACTCAAGTTTTTCTGCTTTACAGATAAAAATGTATCCATGACCTTCAGTGTTCAGATCACCCAAACAGCATCTAGCCAGCTGGATGCAGGCCCTCATAGTGCAAGGGAAAATACTTTACCTCTTGCTTAAACTGGGGGGAAGTCTGAGCTTGTAAATGAATTTCTGATCAGTTTTAGAATTCAAACTTGTAAATACTGAGTAGCTGGAATCTCTCAAGTACAGCTGTAGTTTGCAACACTGGCTACTTGGGAATAAATTGCATTCCCACTCCTTTGTAATTACCTACAGACTGACAGATAAGCAGAAACCAAAACGGTACTAGGTTCCTCTATGTAGCTGCTATAGCAGCTAGGAGGGATTTATAAATTTTAGAATATATAGGTACATACAGTATATTACAATACATTATTAAAATAATATAATACGTATCTTTATATATAGATGTATATTAAGGAAATACTCTTCTACTTTAGCCTAATGGTATATTAAATATTTTGTCTGAATTGGAACTGAACAACATGGGTTTTGCTTGCTTAGATGATAAAAAGCACTGTAATGTAGAGGAGGTATTTGCACACAGTTTTTACAGTGCACAGTGGTGATATCTATTTTAAATACCTACTCTAAAAAACACTTTTAAATTTTTTATATTGTACAAAGGCTCAAAAAACATGTGTCCAGGACAGTTCTGGAGTCCTAACATTTTTTTCCCAGTTGCACTTGCCTGCAATACCATCATCTAGATTTGCCAGTAGATAATATTTCTGTGTTATTTGTTGGATTATAGTGTTGGTTGTCTTGAAAAGATACCAAGGAACCCATCACTGTTATGGTTACAAACCCTTTCAAAAAAACAGTCTTTTTCCAAGCCCCTTCGTTTAATGCATGACAATTTTTGGGCCACTTTTCAGCCAGTGCCCCAGTATTTTTGGCCCCCAGAGTTTTTTATGAGCCTTACTGGAGGTGGTGCAGGCTGAGGATGAAGTTCAAGCTGATCTTCCTTGACTGGTGCCAGATCATGGGCATTATTGGTTTTGTTCTCTGGTTCATTCAAAGAACAAGCTTCCAAGAGAAAAATGCTGTGGTGGAACAGGCAGCGCTCCTGAGCCCAAGTTTTAAATCACTCAGCCTCTCTTTGCTTTCCTGAATCTTCTCTTTCCCCACAAATATGTTGAAGCTTGTAAGATGGCTCTGATACTAAAAGAGAATCAGATGGGTACCTAGGTAGGTAGATGGATGCACAACTCAAATATGGCAGCATTTAAATCCCTTGTTTAAGAAGGGACACTCTAAAAGATATGTTCACAACTGTACTTATAGAATATACGTAAAAGCTTTCAAGCATATTGTTCTGTGTGTCTAGATTAAGTCTGTAAAAGGTCTCTTGCAAATTTCAGGGTAAATAAGAGAAGCAAACCCACACACTTGTGCTTCTTCAAAAGGTGTGGGGGAGTAAAATAACTGAGATTGTATCAGTGTGACTCACCTGAATCCCTAATGATCATTTGGAGTTGTCTCCTGAGGGAGACATCTACATCTGGTACATAAGACATCAAGGGTCCAATATCACCCCTAGATTAGATGCCTAAGGTAGATCATGTAAATACTCCCTCAGTGTCCAAAGTAAAGATAAATCAGGGAGACCATAAACAGGATGGAGGAGGATGTTTTCGTGAAGTAATAGTCTGGTGGGTAGTAGGAGTAAGCAGGAAAAACTGGAGAGTGCTTTCTTGCTTTCTGCTTTTTAGTTCCTCCTCCCCCTTCCTCTGGAGGCTGGGGCACTCTGGATGTGGAGTAGTTCTTCAAACAGCAAGTAAAATGTTCCCTGTCAGAACGGGGATTGGCTAGCAATATTCAGCACACTACACTTCTGCTTTGTTTGTTTTTGAGTTGTTGAGCGAGGCGGCTTGGGCTGATTCCTGGAATGTGCAGCGAGACAAAGGGAAAGCATGGATGGATACAGCTGGTGTGATAAAACTGGAGAGGAGGTTCCCAGGACAGCCAGGCTTTCAGGGTGTTGTTTTTATCTTGACTACGTAAGAATTCAAGAGAAGCGACTTCACTGTAGGAGCCCACGGGGGCTCCGAGGTAGCAGAATGGTATATTGTGCTGGTTTTCTGACATACCACCATTTCTAGGAGAGCAACCCAGATTCGCAAACTTGGAGACTGGCAGTCAGATAAGGACACTGGGATTGTCAAGTGTGTTTTCTTACTGCACGTATTTGCACAGAATGAGTCCCATCTCCTATCTGATCCTTCTGAGGTCACAAACACCGAGGCAATAAAAGGAAAGGCTGCTCAGTGGGGTGCAGTTTCAGATCAGTGACAAGAATTTTCAGTTATTCATACCATGCGCTCCTAAGGAACCCCTGAAGAGAGCCTTAGGATCTACGTGTGGGCTTTTACACTGGCTGATTGTGGAGGTTGTATTAATAACTCTTTGTTGTGTAGTGCATAAATGTTGGCCTGGGTAGACAGAGCTAAAGGGATGGACAAAGGCTGTGATCAAGCTCTCTGGCACTTGCTTTGTGACATTCAGCAACTCAAAGGCTGCTGTTGTCTTTGTCTGCAGGGAAGCTGTGCTCAAAAAACCCCGTGGAGCTCTCAGCCTGTGCTACAAACAGCATTACTGATGCCACTCTCTTTCCTTGCTCTCCGGGAATTTTGAGGTGCCAAAAAAATCTAAGGCAAGATCCAGAACGTTCCTTCATTCTCTTTGCAGAGAAACCGAAGTACATGGTCTGGGGAAACCTCCGTATGGTCTGCATGCCATCCCTCCCGAGCGGCGTCACCAGCGTTGCCAGTTCCTGTGAGGTACTCTGCTTGGTGACTAGAGAACTTTATTTAGCAGGACACGCAATCAAGCAGCTCTAATAGGGAAACTATTAAGAGCAAAATTTAAAAAATGGCGTTGAAAGAAGTAATTAGGTACATAATATCTAGAATCACATCCCTGGATAACTCTAGTTATGCATTGCATAATGTATTGTTTGTGAATAAACTGTAATATTCCCATCAGTCCCTAACTTCTACATGCTTTTCGTTCCACCAGGGCTTGGATTATCATTTTATG